ATCAAATAGGCCAGGAAGTTTTTAATTGTTTTCCTTTGGTGTTGGTAGTAAATAATTAAGAGGTCGTTCTGTATGCAAATCATTTTTCCTTTGGGACTCACTTGATTCTTTTTTCTAATGTATTCTAAGTGGAGAACTATACATAGTGTTTCCCAGCAGGCAGGCCACATGATTTCCTCCAGCCCCTGTTCCTTTTCACTTGAATTTGATTCTTCAGCCAGCCACCTGTTCTGCGCCTAAACAGGTTTTCTGTAGGGAATTGCCAACCACCAATTTCCTACCCTTTCTAAAGAAGTGACAGGCACCCCTCCAAAGGCTTGGCCACCGTGGTTCCCATTCCTGCCCGTTAGTAAGGATTTCCCAGTCCACCCACAGGCTTCCTGCTCAGCTGGCTCCTTGGGTCAGCCGTTTCCTACGCAATCAACTGAAATGGGAGATAAGGTCTGGCTGAGAAGGAATTCTGGGAAATTAAACTCCCAGAATTCCTCCTCAGGAATTCTGTTTCAAAATGAAAAAAAAAAAAAAACAAGACCAACCAACAAAAACACAAAAACAAACCCCTGAAGATCACAGCCCCATTTTTACTCTGCATTTTTTAATATACTTGTTTTGTTTTCAGGGATTGCTGCTGGCTCTACGATCAAGAATTAGTCCTGGCAGTGCTTGGGGGAACCATACAGGATGTCGGGAATCGAACCCAAGTCAGCCACATTCAAGCAAAAGCCCTACCTGCTGTACTGTTGTTCTGGCCCATGAACTTTGCATTTTTTTAAGCATTGCAGCAGAAGGTGGAAAGGGCCAAAGTCTGCCAAGATTAGGGGTTTACTGTGTTTCTCTGTTAAATTTTATATTTCTTGGGCCAGAGCGATAGTAACAGCAGATAGGAAGTCTGCCTATCATACGGCCAACCTGGGTTCAATTCCTGACATTCCATATGGTCCCAGAGCACCACCAGGAATAATTCCTGAGTGCAGAGCCAAGCCCGACCCCTAAGAATTGCCAGGTGTGACCCAAAAAGCAATATATATATATATATGTATTTTTTTTTTTCCTCAGACATGGTAGTCTAGTCCTTTAGAATCTGGAAAATCTACCCAATTTCACTTTTCTGGTTGAAAAGCCATTCTAATTTTCAAGGCTGACATAATTAATTTTAATTCTCTCTCTCTCTCTCTCTCTGTCTCTCTCTCTCTTTCTTTGTGTGTGTGTGTGTAGGAGATTGTTGGGTCACTCAGTGGTGCTCAGAGCTTACTCCTGACTCTGTTCTTGGGAGTAATCACTGCTGAGATTCAAGAGGTCATATGTGGAGCTGGGATCAAATTGGGGTTGGCTTCATGCAAGGCAAATTCTTTAACCCCTGTACTATCCCTGGAATCCCTGAACAAAGTGGCACCTGGGCTTGTCCCTGTATCCCCACTGTGTGCCCACTCTCTATCACAACACAATAATAATCATGAAGCCTGGAATTATGTCTAATTACACCCCACAAACTAGTACAGAACCTAATTGCTAACAATAATGAATTGATAAGCATAATTATACAACAATGGGAGCATATTATCCTAGTTTATGAGAGCATTAATAACAGTGTTAAATACTTATCTGGATAGTAAGAGTCATTAGCAATCTAATCTATTTAGAATGAAAAAACTGTTTAGTTTATTCTAAGACAACAAATGATCTCTTGATTATCTCCATGTTGACTATCAATCACCAATAAGCATTTAGTATGAATGAGAAGCAATTTAAAAGCCAAAAGAACAAAATTATACATGATTCCTGACCTCCAAGAGTTATTCTGACAATTATAGTTGCAGGAAGATTTTAAACCTAATATTTCATAGGCTCCTCCCTCCCTTCTCTTGAATCATGCTACATGAATGTAGTGACTGTTGGATCTCACTGTATCAGAAGGGCAGGCTTAGCACAGAATCACTACCAAATATTTACTGAGTGAGGGCTGGAGATGGTACTCACAAGAAGCACTGACAAAGGATAATATGGGAATAGATGGGTAACAGCGTGATTATGTTGATGCTATACCAAAGTGGATTAAGGGAAAGAGGGGAAAATGTTAATTTTCCTTCCTTTTCTCTTAGGCAGGTCGCCTCATCCTTCCAGTGTTGTGACAAACACTCACAAGCAATGCCCAATCCAAGGACAAACTCACCCAAGGAAGTCTACAAAGGAAAATTTTTTGTTAAGAAATATCATGTGGTTAAATTTTCAGTACCTGTATTGCAAACCATAATGCCCAGAAGAAAAGACAGAGAAGAGATCGAGAGAGTGAAAGAGAGAGAGAGAGAGAGAGAGAGAGAGAGAGAGAGAGAGAGAGAAAGAGAGAGAGAGAGAGAAGAGAGAAAGAGAGAAAGAGAGAGAGAGTAGTGGCTACCATAGAGGCAGGCTTGTGGAGGGGGGGTATTGGTGGCAGGAGAGAAACTGGGGTCATTGGTGGTGGGAAATGTACACCAGTGAAGGGACACTGTATGACTGAAACCCAATCATAAAAAACGTTGTAACTGTGTATCTCATGGTAATTGACTTAAAAATATTAAAAGAAATATTATGTTCTATGTGATGTATGCTTATACAATAATAAAAAAAAAACTAACAGGAATTAAAAAAATACACCCTTACCCTAACGAGAACACATATTCTAATGAGTCAGGCAGCCTTCAAAATCACTCCAGAATAATGTCTTTTGAAATTACACTGTGTTTGGATCCCTTCATGAGAATGCCCTTATGTTAGAAATTCTTTTTTCTTTGGACATCAGGATTGAAGAAACGTACAAAACTCCCTGGGATCCAATGCAACAACAATGCTGGAACCGAAGCTGAGTACCCTGATTCTGCCAAGGAAGGGTCCCAAAGACAGAGAGACTTGAGAATCCGGGCCAGTATGGTCTATCACCATGCTTTTTTTCCCCTTTTTTTTTGTAGACCTACAAATTTTTGTGCTTGGGTTTCAGTTATACCATGACTGAGTACCCATCCCTCCACCAGCGTCCATCGTCCAGCACCGCGGGTCCCAGCATCCCTCCCACCCCCCGTCCCCCCATCCTACCCTGCCTCTGTGGCAGGGCATTCCCTTTTGATCTCTCTCTCTCTCTCCTTTTGGATCCTATGGTTTGCAAGAGAGGCATTGAGTGGCAATCATGTTCAGTCTATAGTCTACTTTCAGCATGCTTCTCCCATCCTGGGAGGATCCTCACAACACCCTTTATTTGGTGCTCCCTTCTCTATCTGAGCTTTCTTCTCCCCTAGCACATGTGGCTGGCCTCCAGGTCATGGAGCAAAATTCCTGGTACTAATCTCGGCCACTCCTGGGTGTTAGTCTCCCATTTTTTTACTTTATGTTCCCCAGATGACTGCAATCTTTCTGTGTCTATCCCGTTCTTTCTGACTCATTTTGCTTAACATGATACTTTCCATGTAGTACCACTTGTATGTAAATTAATGACTTCATCTTTTCTAACAGCTACATAGTACTCCATTGTGTAAATGTACCAGAGTTTCTTTAACCAGTCATCTGTTCTTGGGCACTCAGGTTTTTTCTAGATTCTGGCTATTGTAAAGAATGCTGCAATGAACAAACAAGTGCAGATGTCACTTCGACTATACTGCTTTGCCTTTCTGGGTCACCATGCTTTCTTTAGGGATCACTTTATAGATCAGTCACACTTCTCAGCTTTGACCTTTTAAATGTCTATAATATTTGGGTTGAGATGTGTATCTTGATTATGACACTGATTTTTTTTTTTTTTTTGGCCACCATATACGAGCCACTGTTTGCACCCAGAAAAAATGCAAATCTGACTGTAGGCTCTCCAGCTGCAGTCTGTGGACACATGATCCTCTCTGGACATTTCTCCTCTGTTTCTACAGACCAAATAAGGAGGCCAAGCTCATTTCTTGTTGTGAGGGCACACTTCAAGGACTCCAGACATAACTTTTACCATGTATGATTTTTCTTTTCTCTTCAAGTAGGTAAGGAAAATAAAGACCAGGCCTTCTTGTTGGCATTATAAAGATATTGAAGATATTCTCAGTAAAATTCATCACCAGAGCACAGCCATGGGTGTCTTCACATACTCCAAGCCAGGAGGCTCCTGCACGCACACATCTGCCTTGCTCACTCAGCCTCCCTCTGGAAGGCCTGCCCTAACTGTCCTTGCGCCACGGTTTCAAGGCCTTGACATCTTCCTGAATTCTGACTTCCTTACTGCTTGTGGCCTCTTCTGTCCTCTGAGGCCTGAAGCTGATCTCGAGTTCTCAAGGTTTAACATGCCTCAATCATCCTTAAGCAGTGATGTTCTCCATGGCCATCCTATTCTCGGCCACCCGTTCTCTCTTCTGTCATCGCAGTCTATCAGCACTTAGTTGGTGATGAACTGTCCCATTGACTTCATCCTGGCCCTTACAAGGAGGAACAACTCATGGTCCACAAGACCCCACGTGTCTGCCACTGTAAACTATTACTTGTACTTTGCATGTATTGAAATGTAATCTGAAGTCCTAACAGCGTTAGTGAGGCGTCTTAACATCCTAACTCACAGCTTAAGGCATATGTGTAGCGGTGGCAAGTGGGATCAAGGGTAGCAATATTTACCCCTTATTTACCAGGTGACCAAGGGCTGGAAATGGAAAAGATGATGCTATGGACTGATGTCAATGTAAAAATGACCCAGGCAGAGACTCATGACTTCCAACCACTTCATGGTGCAGCGGCAGTAGTAGTAAACTGTAAGAATTACTGCTTTTGAGGCTCTCAAGGTTGGCTCAGAAACAATGATAACTTTCAGCAGAGCCTCTTGGGGAAATGTGGGTGGGGGGAGGGGGGCCAGCAGCCAGAGCCTGCACAAAAGCATCTGCAACTGGTCCATGGAGCTATTGGCTTGTTTATTTTCCTTCTTTTCTTTTCTCCTCCCTTGGCTCCTTCCAAGTTTTGTAGCCCCTTGGCCCACCTTCACCTTCCCGCAAGGACTGGCTGTTACTTACCATGCCCTTTAGTGTCAGATCTGCTAGGGGAGACCGGTTGCCATGGAAATCTGGCCAAACATGTAAATCAACAGTGAGGAAACCCACAGGCTGAGCCTTCTCAATCAGATCCAGGTGACTGTTCAAATACGCATACACGTTCTGGCATCTGGAAGAAAAGTGAATTTTGTTTTTAAAAGGGGGGGTGGGAGTGGGTGGGGGCAGGACCAGGGAGCAAACTGTTCTGCAGAAAGAAGCCATTTGTACTTCACATCAAATCCAGAGAGTAAGCGTAATTCCCCAAAGTTTTGCAGAGAAATGACCCCAATCCCACGAAAACCAGTGTAGGGCAGTCTGGGATGTCACTGTCCTGTCGCTAAGAGTAGGTGCTCTGTGCTGGCGGAGAATGGGGGTGGTTCTGAATCAAGACCAGCTCCAGGAATGGCTTTGCCCTGGTGATCCTGGAACCAGGAGAAAGTTATTCAACCTTCCTGCAGCACCATCTTTGCATCTGTAAAAACAGATACCATAATCCTTGTCTAGCTTACCTCACAGGGTCAATGTGAAGATCAAAGGAGACAACAGATGTGAAGATACTGTGTTTTGTAAATTGTACAATGCTATACACATGTCAAGGATATATAAAAAATCTGTATTCCTAATTGTAATAATAATGATGAAATGAATGACTAATGTTTGTTTCTAGACTCAGGTTAGGGGTTTGCTAAGAAAAGTAAGGGGATGGAGTAAAGCAGTTAGGTTTAGGAGTTAGGAAATTTGAGTTCTAACCTAAACTCATCAAATGATTCTGCAGTATTTATTTATTTATTTTGCATTGATAAGCCACTCTTTCTTCCTGTGTTTAATAAGGAGGTCAAATGATCTCCTTCAAGTCATACGAGGTTCAGCTGAGAGGAAGACAGAGATGAGTGCTTGAGAGAGGAAGTCTTTTGTGTTCAGAGCTTCGTTTGCCTGTATTCACTGAGGAACAGGAGCTAATGACCCAACCACTCTGAACATTGAGCCTTTTCCAGTGAATACACAGCAATAACAATAATGCCTGTTTTGAAAACCACAGCACTCAAAAGGAGAGAGAGAACAAAAGGGAATTCCCTGCCACAGAGGTGGGGTGGGATGGGGGTGGGATAGGGGGGTGGGAGGGATTCTGGGATCATTGGTGGTGGAGAATGGGCACTGATGGAGGGATGAATACTCAATCATTGTATAACTGAAACCCAAGCACAAAAATTTCTAAGTCTACAACTGTACCTCATGGTGTTTCTGTAATAAAAATAAAGAAAAAAAAACCAATATCACTGCATTAAAACTCACTGCACAGTGCTCACTGGGGATGACCCTTTCCCCTTTAAATATGCTTCATTCTCAATAATTTCAGAATAAAGTCAGTTATATCAGAGATTGACATTCATGCCATTTTCCTGCTGGGGTCCTTGGAAGGAAGGCTTTAAAGATTAAAAATGAAATAAAAACTGGTAGAAAAAAAGTAGGAAAAAAAACTATCCAAGAAATACTATAATACCCAAGACAGCAAGTATTTATTATCTATGTTTTAAAATGCATTGGAGGTTAGAGAGATAGTACAGCAGGTCAGGCACTTGTCTATCTAACATGTGGCCAAGCCTGGTTTGATTCCTGAATAGCATATGATCCCCAGAGCACCTCCATGATGATTTTTGAGTGCAGAACCAGGAGTAAGCCCTGAGTACAGCTGGGTGTGGCCCAGACACAATTCCCCATTCCCCCCCATAAATAAGATAAAAATGGATTGACATTTTTTTCCTTCAATTTATGGCACAGTGTCTCCATGGATCTTAGGAAGTTCCTCAAACCTCTAAACTAAGTTAAAAGAAACAAGGAAAGGTACAAGTAAAGCCGTGAATTTCAAAATTTTATGTCAAATGAAAAAATGTCCATAAAATTCTGATACAGAAAGAGAGAGGAGTAAAACCTATACAAAAGCATCTATGATCGTGTGAATATGTTTGCAGGCATGACGTGGGCTGAGTGGAGGTGAGGGCTACCCGACCCTACCCTTCTCATCTCTTTGCTTCTTGCTGTGACCCCTCATTCCCAATCATCAAAATATTTTGCCCTGCATCACAGGAGGATGATGACATTGTTGGGAAAAGGCTTGCTAACCCCAGTTTGATGAACTGCCACACCAGTTGAGTTCACTGGAAGTGGCAGCCAGGGAAGCCATATATCCACCATCAGCCACCCATTGCAAAGGTGACACTCAAAAAAGTAAATTGACCTAGATAAGGCCAAATCGCTTCTCTGTATGACCGTGGCAGGACCATGGGTCAAAAACTGACAGGCAAACTTTTGTTTTAGCATGGTTCTGCAAGAGTATTGAGAAAGGAAGTCTGTGAGGCTTCACTGAAGGGAGGGCAGGGAGAAGAGAGGGGGTGTCAGATCATATAGCTGGGGAGAATCTGATCACACACCATGATTCTCTTCTCCCTGCTCTCTCTGCTCTTGGTCCATTAGGAATCACACTTCAAAAAAAAGCCATGAAGCATCTTTTGGAGTCTAAAGTCAGAAGTCTACATAACTTGTGGCAATGTATCACCTCAAAACAGCATCACGACATTTACACAAAAGGCATTTAAAAAAAAATAAGTGCATGTCTATAAATCTTTTCATTTGCCTCTCAAGGAATCTCTGGGTAGGGCATTTAGTTTCAGACAGCAGGGTCAATAAGGACCAATAGGCCTAATTACTATTGATTCATCATTGTCTCATTTACTGTGGGTTTTTACAAACAGTGAGATTCATTTAGTCTCTACATAGATGGTCACTCAGGCACTAATGAGCCCTCTGGGGGATGGGACATGTGCTTTCCCCTTTGACTTCTAACCTCCTCGCAGCTGTATGTTTATTCTTTGAATCCAGTCATTCTCCTGCATGTTTTTTCAATTATACCTTACCATGTGTGCTATCTGAGTATATCATTCTAAATTAAATGCACTTGGAAAACATTAAAATAACAAATGCACATCATTATTCACATAATTTTAACCTTGCAGAATGCCTATGGGGGGGTGGATTGTTTCATTTGTATGTTTTATCAATTCTTCTCAAAGACGAGGGCGGTCTGCCCCCTTCCAACTCGGGAATCACATCTTAACTATTCCAGGAGGATCGTTCCCCCCCCCCCCCCCCCTCATGCACTCCGGGGCTCATATATCCTCCCTCAGAGGGAGAAATTCTTGCTGCCCTTGTCCTGTTGCCTCTGAAGAAAAGAATAGCTTCAATAATCACCCAGTGGTTTTGCCAAATACCAGCAGGGCGATTAGGTCCTCCTGAACCTCTCCAAGCACAGTTTACGTTTTTGCAATCAGAGTTAATGCTTTTCCCTTACAGGCTGCTGTGAAGATTAACTCTAGAGTTCTGAGCACTATAAAATGATAGGTGATCGATAAATAATTCCTTTCCCATCACAGGAAATTCATTTCTAGTTTAAAAAAAAATACCCAAGTCGGGGAAACTTTTTTTTTTTTTTTGTGCTCCAACTTTATTGCTTACAGTCTTAAATGCAGACAGCACCTGTGGAGTCTCTGGTCTCTTCCAAGTCATTTAATTATTTGGATTCATAGGCTGCCCACAAATATGGTGAACAGACTTTCAAAACTCCAATCAGAACACATGTTCTCAGAACAGACACTGGCCCCCTTTGTGGGAGTAAGAGAAAGTTCTGGGCAGAAGCTTCCCTACTGTCTGTCTCCAGGTCTTCACTGCTGTCCTCTGCAACGAGCATCTGGCTGCCCCATTGTCTGTACTCCCATTGTTCATCGATTTGCTCAAGTGGGCCCAGTAACGTCTCCATTGTGAGACTTCTTGTTACTGTGTTTGGCATACTGAATACTCTTGGTAGCTTGCCAGGCTCTCCAAGAGGGGCGGAGGAATCGAACCCGGCTCGGCCGGGCTGGCTGCGCGCAAGGCAAACGCCCTACCGCTGTGCTATCACTCTGGCTGCCCCATTCTACAGAAACGCTTCCCACTGAGAGAGCCAATGCCTTGTTGGTGGCAACAAACCTTTTTTGCTTTCCTGTGTATCAAATTCTCTCTCATTTTATACTGCGTTAGCTCTTCTTATTTTGCTTCTGCCCTTCGAAAAACCTTTAGATTTTCCTACCTCATCTCAGGCTGGTTCTCTTCCTCTGTCCTTTAAGCATCTGAGTATCCCAGAGCTCTGTCCTTGGCCCTCTTCTCACTCTGTCCACACCCTTGGGTGATCCTGTCCTCTAACATGGGCTCCCACTCCCATAGAGGGCTAAGAATGTTCAAATCCATGCCCGGATCTGCTGCTCATTGCAACATCTGCCACCCATTAAATAAAAGCTTTCTCTTGGATATGCAAAGGCATCTTCACTAAAAATAAATAAATAAATAAAAAGGTCTGCTAGACACAGATTCTCTTTGCCTGATAATGCGAGTGTTCCGTAGTTTAATGGAAGCTGATAATGGAGACGTTACTGGGCCTGCTCGAGCAAATCGATGAACAACGGGAGGACAGTGACCTATCGGGTCTCATTTCCATAGCTGCTTGAGCGACCATCCTGGGGCAGATTCAGAGTGGGAATTGTTACCACTTTATTCAGGCCATTGTCAATAATCTGGATTAGAGCACTGGTCTCCTAACATATCCTTGCTTGAAATTTTATCCTAACTAGGTTCCTTACACCTTTGTTTATTTTCCAGAGTGACTCTTCTAAAGGTATGAGTCTCACTTCTACCTAAAGTTCTTGAGTGGCTCTTTCTCACTGTACCCAAAATAAAGCATAGATTTATTTGCTTCGCAGAGATGTACTTCACCATCTGTCTCTCCATACTGTATTATTAAAACTTCCCTTCTACCTTGCATATACCGCACTCTAAGCACATTACATTTATTTTGTGTATAATATGCACTTTTTTAAATTTATTGCTTTTTGGGTCACACCCAGAGATGCTCAGGGGTTACTCCTGGCTCTTTACTCAGGAATTACTCCTGGTAGTGCTCAGGTGACCATATGGGATGCTGGGAATCAAATCCTGGGTTGGCCATGTGCTAGGCAAACACCCTACTTGCTGTGCTATCACTCCAGCCCCAATATGCACATTTTAATCTCTGAATGTTTTCCTACTGTGCTCTTTGCACCTAGA